CGCTAATGAGCTGCACTGTCGGGGGTGTGACCTAATATGCTAATGAGTTTCTCCTGTTGGGTGTGGCCTATTATGCTAATGAGTTCCTGCTGGGCTTTTTCTACAAAAAAGCCCTGTGTGTGAGTGTGTGCGCACCTGGAAGTCATGGCGACCTCTGGTGGGTGAGGCCTTCTGCCACCTCCCGACTGCTGGTATTCCAAGGAGGTCTCCCATCCAAGCACTTGCCAGAGTTGACCCTGCTTAGCTTCCGAGATCTGATGAGATTGGGCTTGCCTGGGCTATCCAGGTCAGGGCCTGCCCTGGGTGTCTTGAAGGAAGAACGAGACACAAATGTTATGTCACTGGTATGCTGTTGCAGCCATTCTCAGGACAAGTATATTCTGTCATTTCCCCCTTATTTCGGGTTATGTTTATTGTAATGGCTTGGATCTTTCCCTTCCTGGTACGTGTGCATTCGTCTACTACAGAATTGCTTTACAGTGGCACAAGGTCATTTTGCACCACCAGTAAGCATTTCACACCAGAGGAGCACACTTGGCCCCAGTGGAGCCAAAAAACAAGAATCCAACCCAAAGTAATGCTTTTTTACCTCAGGGATTATACGCTACTCTCTGAGCAGCCGTTATTGCAAACCAGCGTTAGACCAGACTGTGGTCTTCATGGCTGGTTGCAAGAACGTAACTTCTTGTTTCTCCCTCTTCCACACTGCAGCGATAGGCACCGCTTTTGCGGTTCTGAGCAACCCTGAGAAAAGATTACAGTACGACCGGTTTGGAGATGAACAAGAACCTGTGTATAGCAACCAGCCCAAGCACTACAACTATTACAGGGAGTTTGAAGCAGACATCACTCCAGAAGAAATATTCAATATGTTCTTTGGAGGCCACTTTCCAACAGGTGAGTCCTCTTCTCCCCCCCCCCCCCGCCCCCCGGTCCAACTGATGCTGTCTTTAACAGCTGCTGCCCCTATATTATCCCCCATGCAAAGTAAAGCTCTGTCATGAAAGTTCTAGATACTAAACTTTTCCCCTCCTCCTCTGGAAATAGTCACAGCAGGGGGTCCTATGGGCACTGTGGTGCCTGCCATCTCTTTTCTTGGTGCCCACCAAGTGTTCTTGGAAACTGGGGGGTGGGGGGGGCTTTTGCCCAGCGAGACTTCTGATTGGCTTTTGGAGGTTTGATTGGCTCTGCAGATTTTTAAAAAAATGTTGCTTTGGCATCAGCTGCCCTCACAACACAAGCATCTTCACTGTATGATTGAAGATAAGCTGTGGCAGCCATTTTGTGGCCGGCTCTGCCTCCTGCAGCAGCCATTTTGTGACTGCACCCACCACACTGTGTTAGAATTCTAAAGGTGCCCATGGGCTCAAAAAAGGTTGGGGACCCTTGGATTACAATCATTTGATTCAGTTTAGGGAGTTTAGAAGACTACTTTGTTTTCTGAGTGACGGGTGCAAATGGAGGTTGCTAAAAAAAACAGCATAAACATCTATTTTAAACTTGGATCAGTTGACTCCAGATATACACATGAGAGAGAAAAAGATAGGATTTTATAAATCAGCTTTCCTTAAAAATCTAAACTGGTGTTTCTCTGGAGGAAGGCTGCAGATAGTAGTATGGCAGTACAGTCCTCAGTAGGATTGCACTGTTTGTAATCTGGTTTGTAATCTGGTTGTAATTAGGATTGCACTGTTTGTAATCTGGTTGATACTTCAGCTTTTATGTGGGCAGGAGATATATGGGCTAATGCCCGACTAGCTTTGTCAATTATAAACTCCAGGGGATTTGGTGATGCTCGTAGTTTAAAAATAAAACCGAAGAGCTGTACTGTAAAAGAAGACTGTGTCCATCTTTTGCCTTTCAGAGGCATATACTGCAGATGGGTCTCTTCTGACCATTTTAAAAGCTAAGATTCTTAATGGTAAAAACCCCTTCCCACTTCCTTTTGTTAAATTAAAAATACCCTACTTTATTCCTTTTCTCTTTTTCAACCAGGAAATGTACACATGTTTTCAAATATATCAGCAGATCCTCCCTGTTATCCGTCTCGGACCAGAAACGAACGGACTTGGACGCAGGAGGAAGAGGAGGAGGAAACCCGGCCACAGGTGACTGGGAGAAGGAGTCTGTCATAAGGACCCAGAAGGCTCCCCCTATCCTATTCTTACTGTATTGCAATTTCAGAGGGTAGCCGTCTTGGTTTATAGTAGGACACCTAGATTCAAGTCCAGTGGCAGACTAAAGAGCAACAAGATTTTCGGTGAATAAGCTTTCGCGAGTCAAAGCTCCCTTCGTTAACTGATGAAATGATAGGGTTGACAGGTCCTACCTGGCAGCCAGTGGGGGGCCCATGCGCCCTTTCTGGAATCTTCTGCTGCACACGCAAAGCACACACGGCGCAACATCATTGCATTGCTGACGTTGGGGGGTGATGCTCTAGTTTTGGGGAAAATCTCTATGGTTTTTTGCCTTCAAAACCATAGAGTTTGTTCAAAAACTAGAGCATCTCTCACACACACACACACACACGCCCTGACGTCAGCAACATGATGATGTCATTTTCAGGTGACATCATTGCGTCGGGGACGTTGCACAGTGACGTTCCTGTTTGGGGGTGGCGTTTCCCTCCTGTTTGGGGGGTGGATCGAAGCCCTCAAAGGTGGGGGAACCCCTGCTGCAACCTGAGGGCTGGGAATCCTATGAAATGAGCTTTGATTCTCGAAAACGTATACCTTGAAAATCTTAAAGAACATAAGAACATAAGAAACGCCAATGTTGGATCAGGCCAAAGGCCCATCCAGTCCAACACTCTGTGTCACACAGTGGCCAGAAATACCAGGTGCCATCAGGAGGTCCACCAGTGGGACCAGGACATTAGAAGCCCTCCCACTGTTGAAACCCCCCCCCCCCATCACCAAGAAGACAGAGCATCACTTGCCCCAGAGCTCCTATCTATACCTTGTGGCTAATAGCTACTGATGGACCTCTGTTCCATATGCTTATCTAATTCCCTTTAGAAGCCGTCCATGCTTGTAGCCGCCACCACTTCCTGTGGCAGTGAATTCCATGTGTTAATCACTCTTTGGGTGAAGAAGTACTTCCTTTTATCCATTCTAACCCGACCGCTCAGCAATTTCATGGAGTGCCCACGAGTTCTTGTATTGTGAGAAAGGGAGAAAAGTACCTCTTTCTCTACCTGCTCTATCCCATGCATAATCTTATAAACCTCAATCTTGTCTCCCCTCAGTCGTCATTTCTCCAAGCTAAAGAGCCCTAAGCGCTTTAACCTTTCCTCATAGGGAAACTGTTCCAACCCTTTTATCATTCGAGTTGCCCTTTTCTGCACTTTTTCCAAAGCTATAATATCCTTTTTAAGGTGTGTTGACCAGAACTGCACACAGTATTCCAAATGAGGTCGCACCATTGATTTATATAGGGGCATTATGATATTGGCTGATCTGTTTTCAATACCCTTCCTAATAATCCCCAGCATAGCATTGGCCTTCTTTATTGCAGTCACACACTGTCTCGACATTTTCAGTGAGTTATCCACTACAACTCCAAGATCTCTCTCTTGATCAGTCTCTGCCAGTTCAGACCCCATCAATGTGTATTTATATTTAGGATTTTTAGCTCCAATGTGCATCACCTTGCACTTGGCCACATTGAACCCCATTTGCCATGTTGACACCCACTCGCCCATCCTTGACAGATCCCCTTGGAGTGCCTCACAATCCTCACTGGTTTTCACCACCCTGAACAACTTTGTATCATCCGCAAATTTAGCCACTTCACTGCTTACTCCCATCTCCAAATCATTAATGAACAAGTTAAAAAGCAGTGGACCAAGTACTGATCCCTGCGGTACCCCACTGCTTACCACCCTCCACTGAGAAAATTGCCCACCTACACTCACTCTCTGTTTTCTATGAACTAGCCAGTTTTTGATCCATAAAAGAACTTGTCCTTCTATCCCATGATTTTTGAGCTTACTTAGGAGCCTTTGATGAGGAACTTTATCAAAAGCTTTCTGGAAGTCAAGGTAAATAATATCTATTGGATCCCCCTTGTCCACATGTTTGTTCACCCCCTCAAAGAACACTAACAGGTTAGTGAGACAAGATCTTCCCTTACAGAAACCGTGCTGAGTCTGCCTCAATAGGTTTTGTTCATCTATGTGCCTACTAATTCTTTCCTTAATAATGGTTTCCACCAATTTACCCGGTATCGACGTCAGACTGACTGGCCTGTAATTTCCCGGATCTCCTCTGGAACCCTTTTTAAAGATGGGAGTGACATTAGCTACCTTCCAATCCTCAGGAATGGAGGCAGATTTTAAGGAAAGATTACATATCTTTGTCAGGAGATCTACAAGTTCACATTTGAGTTCTTTCAGAACTCTCGGATGTATGCCATCTGGGCCTGGTGATTTTTCAGTTTTTAAGTTGTCTATCAGTTTTAGGACCTCCTCTCTCATCACCTCAATCTGACTCAGGTCTTCCAACACCCCTCCTGAAATCAGTGGTTCTGGAGTGGGCAAGCACTTCTCATCTTCCACAGTGAAGACGGAGGCAAAAAATGCATTTAGCTTCTCAGCCATTTCCCTATCATCCTTCAATACTCCTTTTACCCCTTGGTCGTCCAAGGGCCCCACTGCCTCCCTGGCTGGTTTCCTGTTTCTAATGTATTTGAAGAAAGTTTTATTGTTGGTTTTTACGTTTTTTGCTATATGCTCCTCATATTCCCTTTTTGCCTGCCTGACCTCAGACTTGCATTTTATTTGCCATAGCCTGTGTTCCGTTTTATCAGCCTCACTGTGACTAGCTTTCCACTGCTTAAAGGAATTCTTTTTACTTTTTACAGCCTCCATTACTCTGTTTGTTAACCATGCAGGCTTTTTCCTATACCTGTTTGTGCCTTTCCTAACCTGCGGAATATATATTTTTTGAGCTTCTAGGATCGTAGTTTTAAATAGATCCCAAGCTTCCCCAATTGTTTTGACCCTTTCTACTTTTCCTTTCAGTTTCCTCCCCACGTGTCCCCTCATATCAGAGAAATTACCCCTTTTAAAGTTAAAAATGGTTGTGTGAGTCTTTTTGGCCAATTCTCTATTTGTACAAATGATGAACTCAACAACATTATGATCACTGTTTCCAAGCGGTGCAATCACTTTTACATCTCTCACCAGGTCTTGAGTGTTACTTAGGACCAAATCAAGGATCGCCTCTCCCCTGGTAGGTTCCGTGACCATCTGCTCCATAGCACAGTCATTTAGAGTGTCTAGAAACTCAATCTCTTTTTCCCGACTAGAACACATATTGACCCAATCAATGTGTGGGTAGTTAAAATCACCTATTATTACACAGTGTTTTTGTCTAGTTGCTATCTTTAAGGCATTCATCATTTTATAATCCTCCTCTATCTTTTGATCTGGTGGGCGATAACAAACTCCCAGTGTTAAGTTTCCTTTTGGCCCCCCTATTTCAACCCATAGAACTTCCAGAAGCGAATCCAATTCACTTAGCCTCTCAATCTTTCTAGACTTTATACCCTCTCTGACATACAGAGCTACCCCACCTCCAACCCTTCCCCCCCTATCCTTCCGATATAATATATAACCGGGAATCACTGTGTCCCACTGATTTTCCTCATCCCACCAAGTTTCAGAAATACCCACAATGTCTATTTTTCCCTCCGACACCAAGCACTCCAACTCCCCGATTTTACCTCGGACACTTCTAGCATTTGTATAGAAACAGCTGTAATTTCCCTTACAAGTTAAGCCTGCATCCTTCCTCTTGCTATCTCGAGTCGTTGTCCGGCAGTCCATGTCACCAGCCATGGCCTCTGTGGACAATTTCAATCCACCTCCCTGTAGAAAAGCAACCGGTACCCCCTCACCTCTCTCAGATGAGCCAACCCGAACCAGAGACTTTTCATCTCCTGTCGGCTTTCCCCCAATATTCAGTTTAAAAGCTGCTCTGCCACCTTTTTGATTTTAAGTGCCAGCAGCCTGGTTCCTTCTCGGGACAAGTGGAGACCGTCTCGCCTGTACAGCTCCCTCTTGTTCCAAAAAGTATCCCAGTGCCTAACAAACCTGAACCCTTCCCCCCTACACCATCGTCTCATCCACGCATTGAGACTCCTGATCTCTGCCTGTCTCTCCGGCCCTGCGCGTGGAACAGGTAACACTTCTGAGAAGGCTACCTTGGAGGTCCTGGACCTAAGTTTCCTGCCCAGCAGCCTAAATTTCTCCTCCAGGACCTCACGACTGCATTTCCCCACATCGTTGGTGCCGACATGCACCACGACCACTGGCTCCTCCCCAGCACTATCTACCAGCCTATCTAAAACACGCGTAATGTCCGCTACCTTCGCACCAGGCAGGCAAGTCACCATACGGTCAGTACGCGGGTTCGCCACCCAGCTGTCTACCTGCCTAAGGATCGAATCACCCACTACCAAGAGCCCCCCTCCCACCCTGCTCAGGGATGGTTCCTTGGTGCAAAAGGAGAGCCGCTCACCAGCTGGGGAAGAGGTCCCTTCTGAGGGCACATTCCCCTTATCCTCAGCATGGTGCCCTGTTTCCCCTAGACCCTCATGCTCCCTGACAGCAGCGGGGCTGCCAGATCCAGAGTGGGACGAAGCTAACAAGTCCCCGAGAGTCTTTTCTGTGTGCCTAGCTGACTGTCTCTGCTTCTCCAGGTCAGCCACCTTGGCCTCAAGGGAGCACACACGTTCCCTGAGAACCAGGAGCTCCTTGCACCGAGGACACACCCAAGACTTCTCGCCCTTCCATCGCCCGCCCCGCCCCCCATCTCGGCCGGCCGATGAAGGCATCGGCCTTCCGTCGCCTGCCTCGCCCTACCCCCCCAAACTCGGCCGGGCGACAGAGGCATCGGCCTTCCGTCCTCGTGCTCTGGCAAGGTGCTTTCTTAAATACTGAATTACAGTCAATCACAGTCCAACAATGCCCCTTCCTCTTCCTCTCTCAAGCAGCCAGGACTCTGCAACAACTGTAATCGCTTTCACACACTCCCAAACACAATCCCCCCCACACAATATCCACAGCTGAATCTCCTCAACTGAAAGCAAGTAAAAAGAAAAACACTCACCATTCTAGCAGCTCTGTCTCCTGCTCCTGCTCAGAGCTCAGCTGGGTCTGGAAGGTGTTATTGGACTCGAATCTAGTTATTGTGTTGAAGTAGCACAAAGTGGAGCGGCAGATCAGATTAGCTGCAGGCACTTCACTAGTCTAGTCCATTTCTTATAGGGAAAAAACGGTTACGTACTCATTCATGTAAGTGGAATGACATCTTTTCATCCACTAAATGAAAACATCTCTGAGCTTGGGTGGGCATGGAGAGCCTGTTACTAGCCACCAAAGATATAGTGGCACTATTTATCTTTTAAATTAAAAAGGTCTCTAAGCTCTACATTTGTCTTAGAATTCTCTGGTTGGCCAGTATTAGCATACTAGCATATGATTAGCAAGTCAACGCATGAAGGACACTGCTAGCAGTAATTCAGAGTTTGTGAAGACAGGATGATATACCCATAATAGGTAGATCATTTCTGGGCCCTGCTGAAATTATTAAAGAATTGGGAAAACTGTATTAATAAGGAGTAAAGCACCCTTGCCTCTTACAATCTCAAAGGAACACCAGAGCTACCTTGACCTGAATCCAAAAGTAGCCTTTTCCGTATGGCTTGTATTAGAATAAAGAGTCTTGGAAAATGAATGTCAGTCCATATTTGTTTTGTACTAAGCTAAGTCATAATCAGTCCTGTCTAACAGTCCCAAAACTAACCTTTTTTTGTTAAAAAAAATAAATCTTGGAGCTCTCTTTTTACTTGCGTGATTTAGATCTTATTCCATTTCTAGCTTATGTCCTTCACTAACCATCATTTCCATTTCCAGAACACCTATTCAACATTCATTCAGTTACTGCCAATATTTATTATAATAATTGTGTCAGTAGTAACTCAGCTGATGGCTACTAATCCACCCTACAGTCTTTTCTTCAAATCGTAAGTCCCAACATTTGTCTTTGCTTCTCTTTGTCGATCTAGCTCAGGAATGAATTTTGTTTATTAACTTTTTCCTGATGACGATTATGATTTTAGAAAAGCCATAACCATTAGAATTATATAAATGTCAGTTGCTCTTTGGCATGGATAGATATCCTGGGAGGTTGATAAATGCTTCTTGCATTAGGGGGCTCCTTTCCGCAGCCCTACAATTTATGCGAAGTTCCACTCATAAAAAATGTAATTTTCAGAAAGTAAATATTTTGAATTTTTACTAACCTGTCTTGTGGCCGTCTCTTTCTCCTTTAAAGAAGATGGACACTTTGGCTTGGATCCTTTGAACCGCCAGCAGAAAATACTGATGGTCTGGGATCTTATTTCCCCTCCCTCTAAAGCCATTTCCAGTCCTGGGAAAATTTAGTTCTGGGAGATCAAGGGACTTGTGTGTTCTAATGGTGGGTGTAGTGGGGAGAGGGAAGGGAAGTTTGTCTCTTGCATGAGTAGATCTCTTTATGCTCGCAAATCGCAGGATCCAGCCTTTTGAATGGAAATCTTCATATGATGAAGCATGATTTCTATGTTTTTAAGTGACCTTAAAACCATATTCTCTGCTTGCTTCCTCTCACAGGACTCTAGGACACACTATTGTTAGAGAAACGCAGAACCTGCAGGTGCCTTACTATGTTGACAAAAACTTTGAAAATAACTATAAAGGTGAAGAGCTTGAAGAACTTGAAAAAGAGATTGAAAAAGAATATATTGAGTATGTTCAGATAAACTGCAGGAAGGAAAAACAGCAAAGTAAGTTGGCCTTAAGCATCATGCCTATATTGACTTGAGACTACTTCTGTATAAACCTCTGTGTCGATTTTGATAGACGCTGATCTTAGAGTATAATGATTCTATTCTGTTTTATTTGTGAGGTACCTTGAAAGTGTGGCCACAGAAAGGTGGCCTACAAATATTAATATGATCAGTTCCTTTTAGCTGATAGTGATGTCACGGAACCTTCACAAACATCACTTTGCTGAAGGTAGTTCTCAGTATGTTTCTAACATCATTCGATGGCTGGAGTGAACCATCAGTCGCTTATCAAACAAAACTCTTTTCAGAACTATGTGGCCAAAGTACAGAGGCCGAGAGCTGGGAAACTTAGTAAAGGTAAAGGTAAAGGTTCTCTTGCTCGAAAGCCAGTCGAATCTGACTCTAGGGTTGCGGTGCTCATCTCCGTTTCAAAGCCGAAGAGCCAGCGCTGTCCGAAGACGTTTCCGTGGTCATGTGGCCGGCATGACTAGACACCGAGGCGCACGGAACGCTGTTACCTTCCCACCGAAGTGGTACCTATTTATCTACTTGCAATTTCTTGCTTTCGAACTGCTAGGTTGGCAAGAGCTGGAACTAGAGACGGGAGCTCACTCCGTCATGCGGCACCCGGGTCTCGAACTGCTGAACTACCGACCTTCCACAGCCTGCAGTTCAGCGTCTTAACCACTTGAGCCACCGCAGCTTAGTGGGAGGGGGTAAATGGCAAAAAATCCCAAACCACAGGAGGGAAGACACCCCTAAAGACAGGTGCTAGAAAGTTCTTTCTCCACAACTAACCTATGCATGTGCAGTCCCAATGTGCGACTGCACGGAAGAACGAAGACAAACCTCCTGCTGTCTACTTCCCCCCAGTATCCACACCAAGCTCTGTGTCCTGGAAGTGAACGATAACGACAGGATCCTTAGATGTTTATGGTATGTGTATATGTGCCAAAGTATATATGCCATTAAGTAACTTTTAAGTTTCACAGACAACTACATTACTACGATGAATTCCGTCAACAACAACCATGTATGTTCATAGAGAGAGAGATGGATTCCCAACTATTCAGTCCAGCTTTCTTCTGTGTTAGAAGTAGCCATGGTGTCACTGAATTTAAATTGCAAATGCATACACTATTTGCTTTCCAACATTATCCTGAATTCTGTAGAACAGGTTAAAGTTATATTAGTGTTTACCTCTCCATAAGTTAAATTAAATTTTGCTTGTATGTATTTGTACATAGGGGCCACGGTGGCTCAGAGGTTAAGACGCTGAGCTGCAGACCGGAAGGTCTGTATGGCAGTTCGAGACCCGAGTGCCGCGTGACGGAGTGAGCTCCCGTCTCTAGTTCCAGCTCCTGCCAACCTAGCAGTTCGAAAGCAAGAAATTGCAAGTAGATAAATAGGTACCACTTCAGTGGGTAGGTAACAGCATTCCGTGCACCTTGGTGTTTAGTCATGCTGGCCACATGACCACGGGGACGTCTTCGGACAGTGCTGGCTCTTCGGCTTGGATAAAGATATGAACACCGCCCCCTAGAGTCAGATTCAACTGGCTTTCGAGCAAGGGAAACCTCTACCTTTACCTATTTGTATATACGTTTTTAAAATCGCTGCCCTAAGGTAATAGATAGGGGGAAAGTGCTCCTGGGGATCCCATGATTCTAAGATCTTGCCACCAAGAGGGGTTAATGAACTGATTTACCAAGTCATGTTTTGAATTGCAGTGCCTCAATATTTGTCCATAACCCCTCAGAGCTTCCCCTGCCCAACAGATCCATCACCACAAGACTAAAAATACAACAATCATTGCCTTTTCCTATGTTTCAGAATCAGAGTTGTCTAATCTGGCAAAGTTATACCGAGATGAGCGACTGAAACAGAAGGCGGAATCCCTACAACTTGAGAACTGTGAAAAGCTCTCCAATATCATAGGACTACAAAGGAGTCGCTGACGGGCGAGAGGTTGGCAGTCCCGCCAAGACTCAGATATTATCTACAGGAAGTTTCAACTTGGTTCTTTTGTTTTTTTAACCGGGGGTGGGGGGGGGGCGGGGAGCATAGACTTCGCACTTGATACCTTCACCGTGTGTGAACTGTGCCATATGTCGGCAACGATTGCTGAAATACATTCAGGACATTTGGTTCTGAGGAGAGTTAATTACGTTCGGCAGTAATTGTCATTTGGTCATTTCAGCCATTCAGGTACCCACCAGGTACTTCCCAGGAACAAGGGCCAGTATGCTTGCTTTCTTTTCTTTTCTTTTTTAACCACTCCAGATTAGATCAGTTAAGTTACTTGGGCATTTCCCATGATCATTCTTATCTTCATTTGAAACTGCTCTTCTGCCTGGTTTACTATGAAAACTTAGCTGGGGGACCATTTATTTATTTGTCTATTTGTTTGTTGGTCTGTTTATTTATTTATTTAGTTGCTGCATTTTGACCCTGCCTTTCTTCCATCGTGAAACTTGAGGCAGTTCGCATACAACTCCTGTCCAAGCAGACCCGTATCTCTTTCGCTTCAGCAAGGCTGCATCGTTAACGAGTCTTGCAAGCGGGCTGTGATACGTTGCGGTCCAGTTCAGGTATTCATCCCTCTCTTTGCAACAGAGCTAAGCAAAGAATGGGACTCAAGGATGGAGCCTGCCTTAGGCAGTGAACCAGGACTTTTGGTCATCAGCACCGCTTGGAAGAACGAATGCTCCTTAAAGCTGTGGAATGGGTGTCAGTGTTTACCTTTAGTGGCTTGCCATTGGCAGAATTAGGGTTTAAAAAAAACAATTGAATTCCATTTTCCAGTTCTTTGTTCTTTTTTTTTTGTAGGTTTATACTCTGCACTCTTGACCCGCAAGGGTTCCCAGGGTGATGTCCAGCATAGACATAGAACAATAATAATAATAATAATATTTTTTGATTTATTAAACGCTCAATCCTGCAGAGCTCCTGGCTCTGAGCGATTTACAGTTACACATATTAACAAGGGACTAACAATGATTCATAGTGGGTAAGGGAGGACAACTTAGAAATCTTTCAAGTCGCACACGTTTGCAGCCGACGGGGATTTTGTTCAGCTGTAGACCTTGACGTGTTCCAGACGGCATTCACTCGGCTTGGCTTGGTGACGTCAGTTTTTCCAGGACTGCTTCGAGTCGCAGCGTCGCATTGCCACCGCCTGGCCGGATTGGCCCATCGCAGGCTTTTTAATGCCGAGGAGATCTTTCCAGGCTTCCGACCTTACGAGCTGGACGAGCTGGACATCCCCCCCACTGGGGGGGTTTAGTGTGCCCACCCTCTCTAAGGTGTGGTATCCATTTTATCTACTTGCCAAAGCTTTCGAACCGCTGGGTGGACAGCGAGCTGGGGACAAGGCTGGTAGCTCACACCAGCGCGGGCTAGAACTGACAGCAGTTCTGTTCAGATGTTACTGTAACCAGAGGATAAAACAGGATATTAAGGACGTAGAATTGCATACAAAGAATGTGTTGAATAAGTTAAGTTAAAAGGCAGTTTCCATTACTTTTGTCATGCAAATCCTGATCTACATTCGTTAATATTTTCTGCAGTTGTAGTGTCTCCCTGGTGAGTTGGTGGGCTCCAAACTGGAGGAGAGTGACAGAGAGATTGATGAGTCGTAGTAGATAACTCACTCTGTGCAGTTCTGGTCAACACACCTTAAAAAGGATATTACAGCATTGGAAAACATGCAAAAAAGGGCAAGTAGAAAAGGGTTGGAACACTTTCCCTATGAGGAAAGGTTAAGGCGCTTGGGGCTCTTTAGCTTGGAGAAACGACGACTGAGGGGGTGACATGATCAATGTTCCCTCTAAGCTGTAGAGTCCTGTGAGCAAAAATTCTACTTTGTGAGCTACCGGCATTAAAGTTGTGAGCAGGTAATTTGGCTGCTGCATAAATTAGCTTGCTTTGGAGCCCTCCTTCCTGAGCTGAGACAAAAATGTGTGAGCCGGAGGCTAAAAAACTGTGAGCTAGCTCACACTAACTCAGCTTAGAGGGAACACTGGACATGATAGATGTTTATAAGATTATGCATGGGATAGAGCAGGTAGAGAAATAGGTACTTTTCTCCCTTTCTCACAATACAAGAACTCGTGGGCACTCAATGAAATTGCTGAGCAATCGGGTTAGAACAGATAAAAGGAAGTACTTCTTCACCCAAAGAGTGATTAACGAATGAAATTCACTGCCACAGGAGGTGGTGGCGGCTACAAGCATGGATGGCTTCAAGAGGTGCTTGGGGGGGGTCAACAGTGGGAGGGCTTCTAGTGTCCTGGCCCCACTGGTGGACCTCCTGATGGCACCTGGTATTCTTGGCCACTGTGTGACAGAGTGTTGGACTGGATGGGCCATTGGCCTGATCCAACACTGGCTTCTCTTATGTTCTTATGACTAGTTTAGAATTCTGTATGTCATTGCCAACTCAGTAGGCAAGCTATTTGGAAGACTGAACTTATTGTGACTGTTTTCTGCTTGGAGGTATGGAGCCACTTTAAAGCTGGGCTGTTCAGATATGCTTTTTGAGGGGTGAAGTTTGATCTACTGATGCTCTGGCTTGTTTTAAGAGTGATTTGTTTGTTTTTATTTTTGTTTTTATTAACAAAATCTATTTTGAGTCCTTGGCTGAAGATAGGCAGATTAAAAATGACATGGTTAAATTAGGCAAAGGCTTGTACTTAGACCGAGTACAGCTTCTGAAGTCATGTCTGACTGCGGAGAGCTGAATATGCTGGGAATCCTGTTCCTCCTCAGTGGAGGAAGGAGGCAAGATATCTGGGTTGCTCTCATGTGACAGCTCCCTCTCTGCCCCAGCTGACAAACTCTGAATCCTCCAGTTCAAGCCTTTTGTCTAACCTGGATTGCTTATGTGAGTTTACAAAAAGCTTGAGCAGGTTTGTGAGGCTCTTCCCTCCTTGCTTCGGTCAGCCAGGATGGCTTTGCTGCCACCTGCTGGCCAAGGATAGATTTTGGGACTGTACCTTTCCCGTCTTCATCCTCTTCATCCCAGTTTGGTGTAGTGGTTAAGTGCGCGGACTCTAATCTGGGAGAACCTGGTTTGATTCCCCGCTCCTCCACTTGCACCTGCTGGATGACCTTGGGAAAGCCATAGTTCTGGCACAGCTGTTCTTGAAAAAGAGCCGTTTCTGTCAGAGCTCTCTCAGCCCCCCACCTACCTCACAGGGTGTCTGTTGTGGGGAGGGGAAGGGAAAGGAGATTGTAAGCCGCTCTGAGACTCCCTTGGGTATAAATCCAATCTCGTCCTCCTCTTCTTCTTCATCATCCCTTTTCTTCTGGCCTCTTTCTCTCGTGTCTGCTCATCCCTGTTAGAGCTTTCTTTAATAAAAGCATTTTATGACAGTTAAGGTAGTGACCCAAGCACCAGTCCTCTTGTGAGAAGGGCGATGAAGCCATGGCATTGTGTGTGGTTCCCTCCCCCCCCTTCTTGATTTCTCTTTAATGTGATGCCTGTCTTTGTTGATGTTTGTTACCTTGGTTTTCTGAATTGCAAGTTCTTTTTTTGTTTGCTTGGGTTCTTTGTTTTGGATGGTCTGGTTTTCCGTAAAACATCTTGCAGCAAGAATTTCAGAAGGACTTCTGGACACGAAGCTGCAAAGATGACCTGTTGCTCAGGAATAATAGTAATTCTGGTGTACTGAAAATTCGTTTTGGGATTCATTTTGCAGTGAGTGTCAGACTGGAAGTTCTGTGCCCCCTGTATTTTCTTCTGCTACTCCGTGTGCTTTCTTGTCTGTTGTGGGGAGAGGAAGGGAAGGCGATTGTAAGCTACTCCAAGACTCCTTTGGGTAGTGAAGAGCGGGGTATAAAACTAATTTCTTCTTCTTCTTCCCAGTGTGTTTTTTGTGTTGGTCTCTCAAGCCTCTCTTTGTGGTTGGTTCTGGTATTTCCTGGGGACAGACATTTTAGGGATCTTTCCCAATTTTAGCAAAGGCTAGAAAAGTGAGATTCCTTACCTAAGTGACCTCTGTCAAATCCCAGTATAATTCATAGCTTTGTGAATTGATTTTTAAAATATTAGGCTAGTCATGCTGTTGAAATTTGTTTCCCTGGAATATGGTAGAAGGCAAAAAAGCCACCTGCGGTCTCTTCTGCAGCCTTCTGTTACAATCGCCAAACTGCCTAAAAGCAAAAAAAAAGATGCAACAATTCAGAATCATCAACATTGTAATGAAGTGAACATTGTAGGTGATAATCATGTCTCAAAAACATCAAAAAGAACTTTTGTCATTTTTAAACAAGCAAAGTGTACACGAGTAATAGCTGTGTTAGAATTCAATAAATCTCTCCTGTGAACATCTGGGAGGGAAAGAATTCTGTATTAATTAGCCAATGATGTATTTTTTCCCCACTGCAACAAAAGTGCAGGTACATTTCCCCATTACAAGGTATTTATTAGATGTAAGGAAACCCTACTTGGAACTCTTAGCTCCATCTGTTCCTTGGGGTTGCTGGCCATGAGATGCTAACCTTTTCCCTTACCAACCTTGTAGCCCTCCCATATGGAAAAACAGTCCAGTGGAGCCTGAGTGGTGGGTGTTGCCTTCTGACACACTTCCGGTGATGCCAGGGGGTGTGGCATATGCAAATAAGTGGCATATGCAAATAAGTACACGGTTTGTCACCCATTCTCATCCTGTTTTATTCTCACAGGAACTCTGTCAAGCATATTAGGCAGAAAGATAATCACTAACTGAGGTAACACTCCTCAACATTATGGAAAAGGAGGTCTGCCCGGTCCAAGTGCAATGCTGTCAGTACAATCCAGAGTAGAGTTACACCTTTGCGAACCCCACTGACTTCAGTGAACTTAGAATGATGTAACTCTTCTTAGGATAGAACCAGGGGTCATTTCCTGCAGGAGCGCACAGGAGCAGAGCTCCGGCAGTAAAGAGCCCAGGGGGTGGGCACATGCAACAAGCCCCATCCCCTGCTCCCAGCAGCTCTGGGCCACGAGGAGCATGAAGATCTGTGTGTCCCCCCCGCCCCCAATAGCTAGCAATCCAAAACAGTCCAGTGGAGCCTGAGCGGTGGGTGTTGCCTTCTGACACACTTCCGGTGATGCCAGGGGGTGTGGCATATGCAAATAAGTTATGCTAATGAGCTCCTGCACCTCTTTTCCTACGAAATGACCCCTGGATAGAACTGTGAGACACCGGCTGTTGGGTCAGCTTCCCCTGAACACTGGCCTTTCTGTGAGCAGCAAACATTTCTAGTGGTCATAGCTTCTAACACAAAAGATTTAATTGTCAGGATGTTCCTTTGGAAAACTACTTGATACTTTTGTTCGTGCTACAAGAGGCCATGTGATATCTGAGCCAGTTTGGTGTAGTCTGGTTAAAAGCGGCAGACTGTAATCTGGAGAACTGGTTTGATTCCCCACTCCTCCACATGGAGCCAGCTGGGTGACCTTCGGTCAGTCATAGTTCTCTCAGAGCTCTCTTAGCCCTACCTCCTTCACAAGGTGGCTGTTGTGGGGAGAGGAAATGAAGGCAACTGTAAGCCATTTTGAGACTCCTTTGGGTAGAAGAAGAAGAAGAATTGGATTTATACCCCACCTTTCACTACCCGGAGGAGTCTCAGAGTGGCTTACAATCTCTTTTCCCTTTCCCTCCCCACAACAGTCACCCTGTGAGGTAGGTGGGGCTGAGAGAGCTCTTTCGAGGACTGCCCTTGAGAGAACAGCTCTGAAAGAATTTATGACTGACCTAGGGTCACACTAGCAGCTGCATGTGGAGGAGTGGGGAATAAAACCTGGTTCTCCCGGTTTAGAGTCCACACTCCTAACCACTACACCAAACTAGTGAAAACCAGCTTCTTCTTCTTCTGATGTATTTTAATACTTGTTATTTAGATACGCGCTGAAAGGATCTAAATGCAGCAAATGTCTATTCAATTTAGTGGTTTAACTAGATTACAATGTTGTATCACTTGAAATGTCTCTCTAAGGAAACAAACCGATGTTATCCCAGATTCAACTTTGGTGTCCGTACTTTGATCCTGAATCTTGCTGTCCACAATTCACCAGACCTCCTTGTGTTTCTTCCCAACTTTCCGTATTTCCAGTATGCTCCAAAACACTTTTAAGCTATGTTTCAGGGTCAGTGGTTGTGTTAGGCAGTATCCAGTGCACAAACATTTTGGTCAAAGTTGCAAAGGTGTCAGGATTATTAACATTTTACACCCAAATGTGTAGCAAAGTGCAGTAATTCAAAGTGCATTTTGATTTTTTTTTAATATAAAAAATTGTGTTTGTATTTATTTCACCCAGTTAGGCAACAGGTAAACCTATAGCAGACTGTAGCATAAACTCAAGAACTGGTTACTCTTTGTGAAAAGGCTTCTTTTTACACGTATTTTATGTGTGCATGAGATATCCCTTTGTTCTGTTTAACATATTTCACATCGGGCACCAACTTAATATTCTTACCCTTTTTTTTCCTTTGTCATTTTTTTTCCTGAATGTAAATATACATTGGCAATATAGTTATTGAGTACAACCACACTGAATCTTGATTGTACAGTTAATTTTTCATCAGCTGTATATGTGTATATTGTAACATCAGATGACTGGTACATAAAGTGTAATTTCCTCATCTAGAGTAAGAATTCTGGAAATACCTTGTTTTCTACTGATCATTGGACTTAAAGTAAACACAGTTCTCTATTACTCTGGCCTCAGTACTCAGGCGATTTCAGTGGTACTACAGCAGTAGCTGAGGATTGTGCCATAAGACTGAGGAACAGTGTTGTTTTCTTCCCCCTGTGTAATGCATTATTTATTCTTGAAAATGACAACTATTGCTGTGTTATATGGAAATAAGACATGAAATAAAAGCTGTGTATCAAAGATCAGGATTCTCGCATTCAGGAGCCTGTTTCCCATTACATAATTGTTGTCAGATTTTTATGATAGATTTAAAAGGAAAAAACTACTTGGTCATCACAGGCCCCGGTCACACGGGCCGGATATTGGGGGGGAGGCGTGGCTAATTGCCCCGGCGCAGTTTGATCCGCGATTACGTGATCAGATGCGCCGGCAGCACACCACAGGTCCTTCCCTCGGCGCCGGCGGGTAAACGAGGGACCGGAGGGGAATGCCGCGCGCCGGCGCGATCACACCACGGGAGTCTGGAGGCAGCCCGTGGCAAACGTTTACTAGTACTTTGGAGGTACTATTTTTTTAACACGCATTTTCGGCAGTAAGCCACGGGTGCGCTCCACTTCCCAGATGTTGGGGTGTGATCACGCCCGGATAATCCGCCCACCATCCGTGCCTCTCTCGCAGCAACTTTGTCATGTGACCGGGGCCACAGAATATTAAATACTACAACTCAGAAAGCCAGAAGTTAGGAAATGGCAGCCAGGTCATCTGTACCACTACCACTATGAAGTGGATTCGTTTGTCTGTTATTTTACAGTGTGCAGGGCATTTCCCTCTCCCCTCCCTGCCATTTCAAGAATGCAAAATTCCTGTGTGAGGTAATACTTTATACAAGTGATCATTCACATAAAATATTCTAGAACGAATTTTGAGTCCAGTGGCACCTTTAAGACCAACAAAGTTTTAATCAAAGTGTAAGCTTTTGTGGGCAAAGCACACCTCTTCAGACAAATATTCTAGTCATAGCAGCTGAGCTGAGAGAATAGTAGCTGCACTGAAACCTTGCTGGTAACCTTCCAGATTACATAAATCACTTTTTGATTTATTTAAAACATTTGTTCCACTTATGGCTGCTTTAGAATGTGGACTGTACCCTACCAAGGTCCCTATTCCCCCATTTTCCAAGTCTTTACCCTCAAATCTCCAGGTATTGCCAAACCCGGAGTTGGCAACCCGGGGGGGGGATGAGTGCCTCACTGCTGCACTGCCACAGCATTTTTAAATCCCTTTAGAAGGGCAGTGGTGTCCCTGTTTGGCCCAGGGGTCCCTCTCTTGCAGGCCTTGAGGGCGGAAACAGAACATAGCTCTTCAGGGCTCACTTAAAGGTATTCACGCATATATACATCAGGCTTAGAGGGTCATTCTTGTTCTTACATGATTACCTGCATTAGAACTTTAATTCACGGGGTGGGGGTGGGGGGAAGTGTCTTATAATTCTCACAAGTTTTGGAAAACAGTAAGAATCCAGGAGCAAAACTTTTGGTAGGTATGAGCTTTTTGTGAGTCACAAAAGCCCATACCCTGCTACAAATTTTGTTAGTCTTTACCCTGCCACAAATTTTGTTAGTCTTTTAAGCTGCTACTGGACTCTTGCTCTTTTCTACTAGCTCTGAGTGGCCTCTCCTAACAGCTGCCCACCAGTGTTCCCTCTAAGCTGAGTTTTTTAGCCTCCAGCTCACACATTTTTGTCTCAACTCAGGAAGGATTGGTCCAGAGCAATCCTCCCTCTAAGCTGTGGAGTCTTGTGAGCAAAAATTCTACTTTGTGAGCTACCGGCATTAAAGTTGTGAGCAAGCGATTTGGCTACTGCATAAATTCGTTTGCTCTGGAGCCATCCTTCCTGAGCCAAGACAAAAATCTGTGAGCTGGAGGCTACGAAACTGTGAGCTAGCTCACACTAACTCAGAGGGAACACTGGTCCAGAGCAAACTAAATTATGAAGCAGCCAAATCGCTGGCTCACAGCTTTGATGACAATAGCTCACAAAGTAGAATTTTTGCTCACAAGACTCTATAGCTTAGAGCACTGCTGCCCACCACCCTTTTTTCCTGTAAGTAACCTTTGAGATTTTATTCCATTTGTCTGAAGAAGTGTGCTTTGTGCACAAAAAGTTAACACTTTGAATGAGCTCGCAGAAGAGATCAGGGCCTGTAAGAAGGAGCTCTTCCACCAGGCCTTCAATTAAGGAGCCGCTGCTGCTGCCACCTGAAAAGCCCTGGTCCCTAGTCTTGCCATCCACAGGCTGTGCTTGCCGACTACATCAGGGAAAGATCAACCAGCTGAAGATCACTGAATGCACTCTATGGCACTGCTATCCTTAAACAATTGCATTAAAACCAGAGGCTAGCACATTGAATTGTTTTACAACGAACGGTTTTTAGATGGCGTTTGATAAATATAACTTGTTATTTTGTATTTATTTCTTGTGTAATCCGCCCTGAGCCTGGCTCGGCGGGGAGGGCGGGGTATAAACTGAAATAACAACAGTAACTTTGTGGGTCTCAAAACGTACCGCTGGACTCAAACTTTTGTTTCTTTTCTACTGCTACACACACACTAACACGGCTACCCCGTCTTCAAGCTTTGGGAAACAAAAACGGTTTAACGCGTTGCACCGCATCCCTAGAGTCGGATTCGACTGGCTTTCGAGCGAGGGAAACCTTGACCTAATATAATATGATAAACTTTTCGAGCGAGGGAAACCTTTACCTAATATAATATGATAAACTTATAATAGAGGAAAACAGCTTCCAGCATTACTCTCTTAGGACCACGTTTCCGTTACCAACATTTTAACTGAATGGACGGCGCATGCGTGAGTGGAGGCCAGCTCCCGGGCTACTGAGCGCCCGTCCCGCCCGTCCTCCCGCCGCCGCCGCCGCCGCCGCCGCCCCCGCCCCCCCTTCTCTCCGCGGCGGTGGGAGGCGCGGTGGGTCCTGATTGGCCGGTGTCGGGCGCGCGGCGTCTTCCGAGGCGCCGGCCCGAGGCAGAAATGGCGTCGTTCGTGGTTTTCCGGCAGTTGCGCGATGTGATCGCGACCCAGGAGGTGTTGGTGGAGAAGCTGAGGCGGCAGGTGGGGGGCAAATGGGAGACCGAGAAGGAGGCGGGAGAAGAAGGCGGGAAGGGAGACAGAAACTCCCTTTCGCTGCCCAGAGCCAAAGATCGTGCTGGTTCTCTGCGGCGGCCATTCACCTGGGCTGGAGCGAGGAGACCCCACAAGTCAGTCTCTGCCCGCCAAACCAAACACCCTCCGCAGGCATACGCATATATAATAAACGCCACGGGCAAATTCACGGAAGAGAGGCACAGAGTGCATAATGTTTGCGAGGGGAAACACCGCCGTTGGAAATGCTGAACTTTATGGTTTGACCTAGTCGGGCTCTTCCTGTGTTCTTACAGTGCAACCCTAAAAAAGGTTACACCTTTCTAAATTCATTGAAGTATATGGGCTTAGAAGGGTGTGTAACCAATTTTGAGTCCAGTGGCACCTTTAAGACGAACAAAGTTTTATTCAAAGTGTATTAGAGATTCAGGTTCTTCAGATTGTAGAGTCTTTACAAAGGTGTAATTATTCTTCGCACTGCATTGCTAGTTATTTGGGTGTGAGTGCTCCTTCCTCTGAAACAGCAGTCATTATTTCCATTGATACCCAATGATATTTTATAAAGTTTGAGTCCAGTGGCACCTTTAAGACCAACAAAAAGGATAAATGGACATAAATCTAACATCAAGAATCACAGAGCGGAGAAACCTGTAAGAGAACAACCTCCCAGGACACTCAATGGGCCTCCCCTCAAAGTAGCTGTTTTATTGCAAAGGAACTTCAGAAAGAGACTAAGTCGTTACACACTGAGGACAATGGAACCCCCAGGGCATAACAGAGGTACTGGTTTCATGTCTCACTACACATGCTAATATTGTAAACTCCTTTTACAACTCCTGTATGCTAATTTGCTGCTATTTACAAGTCTTACCAAACCTTCATCAGGTCTTAGCTATATTTACTGCTCAGTTATTTATGCATCTTGACTTTGGCCCTTCCTAGCAACACCCTCCTCACCCTCTACCTGTAAGTAATGGTTGGTGATATCTGTTTTAATGTATCTGAAGAAGTGTGCGTGCGCACAAAAGTTTATACCCAGAATAAAACTGTGTTGGTCTTAAAGGTGCCACTGGACTCAAACTTTGTTCTGCTGCTTCAGACGAACATGGGTATCTGCCTGAATATTTTGTTTGTACTCATTCAGTATTAAAGCAGGGAGGTTCCGAGAGATCTAGCTTAAAACATGAGCATAAGAGGCGCCAATGTTGGATCAGGCCAAAGGCCCATCCAGTCCAACACTCCGTATCCCACAGTGGCCAGAAATACCAGTGCCATCAGGAGGTCCACCAGTGGGGCCAGGACATTAGAAGCCCTCCCACTGTTGACCCCCCCCCCAAGCACCAAGATGACAGAGCATCACTTGCCCCAGAGTCCCTATCTATACCTTGTGGCTAATAGCCACTGATGGACCTCTGCTCCATATGCTTATCTAATTCCCTTTTGAAGCCGTCCATGCTTGTAGCCGCCACCACTTCCTGTGGCAGTGAATTCCAAGTGTTAATCACAGGTACATAAGAACATAAGAACATAAGAGACGCCAATGTTGGATCAGGCCAAAGGCCCATCCAGTCCAACACTCTGTGTCACACAGTGGCCAGAAATACCAGTGCCATCAGGAGGTCCACCAGTGGGGCCAGGACATTAGAAGCCCTCCCACTGTTGACCCCCCCCCCAAGCACCAAGAAGACAGAGCATCACTTGCCCCAGAGCCCCTAGCTATACCTTGTGGCTAATAGCCACTGATGGACCTCTGCTCCATATGCTTATCTAATTCCCTTTTGAAGCCGTCCATGCTTGTAGCACCCACCACTTCCTGTGGCAGTGAATTCCAAGTGTTAATCACTCTTTGGGTGAAGAAGTACTTCCTTTTATCCGTTCTAACCCGACCGCTCAGCAATTTCATGGAGTGCCCACGGGTTCTTGTATTGTGAGAAAGGGAGAAAAGTACCTCTTTCTTTACCTGCTCTTTCCCATGCATAATCTTATAAACCTCGATCATGTCACCCCTCAGTCGTCTTTTCTCCAAGCTAAAGAGCCCTAAGCGCTTTAACCTTTCCTCATAGGGAAAGTGTTCCAACCCTTTTATCATTCGAGTTGCCCTTTTCTGCACTTTTTCCAAAGCTATAATATCCTTTTTAAGGTGTGGTGACCAGAACTGCACACAGTATTCCAAATGAGGTCGTACCATTGATTTATATAGGGGCATTATGATATTGGCTGATCTGTTTTCAATACCCTTCCTAATAATCCCCAGCATAGCATTGGCCTTTTTTATTGCAGTCACACACTGTCTCGACATTTTCAGTGAGTTATCTACTATAACTCCAAGATCTCTCTCTTGATCAGCTTCTGAACCTGGGACACGGTGAGCCATATCTCATGATGGGAAATGGCCAAACATTGGTTTGACACACCCTTTCTAGAGCCCAAGGCTCTGCTAAGTTAAGCATCAAATCAGTCGGCTTTGGTATACCACACACTTCATGTCTGCATAAGAACAGACTACAAAAATAACCAATTACATTCAGAGATACTGCCGAATAATATGCTATTTGTGCAAGTATTTTAATAAATGTAGCATCCTTTTTATAGATTACAGAACTGGAGAAGAATTCGATCAGCAGGGTGGAATATGAGGCTATTGTGAAGAAGCTAGAGGTAAGTAACTTTTTATCTGCGGTGGTTACATATTCACAAAAGGTTTTTGCACTGAATCTAGAACATGTGTGTTGCGGTCCCCTGTAGGTTTTCAGTATAAATTATTTCTGTTCTGTTGAAAATATAGTCGTAAATACAGTACAGTGGGGCTGAAGGTGGGGAAGTACTTTTAAATACCTATGGTGGGAAGAGCAGATAAAAAAGTTCAGAGAATTTTCTTTGCCTAGTAATCCGTCCCTTACCAAGGAATTTTTCTGGGAGGTGCCACTCTAGGCCCCGGTCACACGGCAAAGTTGCCACGGGAGAGGCACGGGAGTCCCGCGGATTTTCCGGGCACGATCTCACCCCAACATCTGGGAAGCGCAGTGCTCCCGTGGCGAACCCGTGGCTCCCCGCCAAAGGTGCGGAGTTAAAAACTAGTACCTACGAGGTACTAGTTTCCTGAAACCGTGGGCCAAGGGCGGGCATCTGATCGTGTTCCCGGTGGACTTACGTGGCATCCGGTGCCCGCTGCTGTTCGTCTCCGCAGGTTGCGCAACAGCGCCCAACAGCGCATGCGCACAAAGAGTGATTCCTAGTGCGATCGCGTGGCACGGCTTCTGTGCCGCGCTGCAGGATACCCGTCTGATTGGCATTTCCCCCGACCCATGGGACCTCGACCGGGATGTTTGCTTGGGCAGCCGCTTGTTAGTTTCCTCCAGGGCAATTAGCCACGCCCCCCCGCGATATCCGGCCCGTGTGACTGGGGCCCTAATTAATTAAATTAAGGCTGCTGTGGAGAGGGGGTGGCCTCACTAAGTCTTCCTGCTTCCACAGCTGGCTTCTCAAAGCCCCTCTCCCTCCTTTACTGCTCAGAAAGCTTTGAAAGGAAGCATCAGGAAGAGCCACCAAGGTCACATGATGCCCCCTCCCCGCCACCGCCCTGGCTCCCCTCTGTCCCTCCCCCATTGGAGCACCAGCGGCGCCTGCCCGTGCTCCTCTTACCCAGCACAGCTGCTGCAGGAGCCTCAGCAGCAGCCATGAGCCAGGCAACCTCCCTGTTTTTTCTAGCTGCTGTGTCAGCCCCAGCCCACACTGGGGAGGGTGTGTTGTGATGGGGGCACCCCGATGCTATAAGGGGGCGGTGCCTGCTGCACCCTCCCCCACTGGCTACAGCCCCGCTATTAATACGACCAGAGTCCACTACCTGCATTGCTTTTGTTGGCCAATAAAGTCTGTTAGGGAATCTAGTAACTTAGATCCTTCAACTGTTCTTTACTTTACAGAAGGAAGAGGCAGAACATGCAAAGACCAAGAATTATCTGGCTAAGGAATCTGAACAGCTGGAGTTTGCCCTTGGGGAGATCGAGATTCTCTCGAAGCAACTTGAGAGGGAGAAACAAGCATTTGACAATGCGTACGATCGTAAATTGGCCTCTCGAAGCAACTTGAGAGGGAGAAACAATCATTTGACAATGCGTACGAGAAACATTCATTTGACAATGCGTAGGATCATAAATTGGAGGGGAAGAAGTGTCTGAAGAGAGCTGGTTTAGAGAATGGCTGCTTTTTAAAAAAAAAATGTAGTTAATATAGTAGGGACGGGTACAACAGCAGTTATGGGACTCCATTGACTGCTAGCTAATTTTCTGGGTCCACCGACCTCCAGACAGGCCAGGATCCAGCAGTTCTTCTCCCATACTAGTGCTGTTTGCCATTGCTGCTGGCATTCACTGATGGAAAGACAGCTTCGATAGCCTTCCCTCTGATGTGCTTTGGAGGCAGGAACACATGGTCCTTGCACTGGAGAAGAGCAGCTGTGTTCCACTGTCTGCACTATAACTGGGCTGGAAAGGAGGAAGCAGCTAAGTCCTAGCACGTGCTGTAACCAAGTGTCCTGCTGCTCTTGGAGTGTTCCCCAGCCGTTGTAGGGCACGCACAATTTCTAGCAGCTATTCTGAGGGGGGCTGAGAGGTTTTCTGCTGCCCTCTCTCAAATTTGAGAGAAAAGTTGTGCCTGTGATCATAAGCCTCTGGTACGAAGTGCCATTGACTTCAAGGGAATTTATGCTTTAATAACTGTGCTTAGATTTTCACTCCGAAACTGTTCATGTTTACTCTGAAATATGTCCCAGTCTGTTTAGAAGAAGAAGAGATTGGATATATACCCCACCCTTCACTACCCAAAGGAGTCTCAGAGTGGCTTACAAACTCCTTTCCCTTCCCCTCCCCACAACAGACACCCTGTGAGGTAGGTGGGGCTGAGAGAGCTCTTTCAAGAACTACCCTTGAGAGAACAGCTCTGACAGAACTACGGCTTGCCCAAGGTCATCCAGCAGGTGCAAGTAGAGGAGTGGGGAATCAAACCCAGTTCTCCCAGATTAGAGTCTGCGCACTTAACCACTACACCAAATTGAAGCAAAATGGAGTCCTAAATAAATGTTCCTACGGTTGCAGCATTGGGGCAAAGTGAGACCATTGTGAATAAGCCCACATAAGGTTGGGGAATTGGCTTCTCAGTTGGCAGAGAAAACAGCCGGCAGTTTTTCTGAGGGGATCCTCATTAATACAGGACACGTCTGTCCAAACTGAAATGCCATGTTGATCTTGGATGAATAATAACCTTGATCAAATTCACCATTTGGGGAGGGCAGTTTTGTTTCAGTCAAATGTGATTATGCCTCAGACACCTATATTTCTGGCTATTATGAGAAATATAGTCACCACAACTGCTCTTAAAACGCAGTGTTTTTCACAGTAGGCTGCACAGGCCTCCCATCTGCTCACTGCTGGCGTGCAGCACTTAAACAAGAAATCAGTACATTAAACTAGATGGGATAAACACTGCAAAAATATTTTTTGCTTCCTTTTTGAAAAGCTACTGTAATTCTTCACAGAACTTGGAGAGTAACCCTCAGTGTCGCAAATCTTAATTTACGAAAGCACTTCATTGCAATTAAAGTTGAACATATGCTGTAGACTCATAGAATTCATAGCTGAACACGTGCTGGTTTCCAGCTAGAAACTGAGGAAGGCATTTAATTTAAATGAGAGAAGTTTTAAAGGCAGCGTTATTCAAAGTCCAGAGAGCCAGTTTGGTGTAGTGGTTAGGAGTGCAAACTCTAAACTGGGAGAACCAGGTTTGATTCCCCACTCCTCCCACAGGCAACTGCTAGTGTGACCTTGGGTCAGTTCTTTCAGAGCTGTTCTCTGACAAGCAGTTCTCTAAAGAGCTCTCTCAGCCCCACCTACCTCACAGGGTGTTTGTTGTGGGGAGGGGAAAAGGAAGGAGATTGTAAACCGCACTGAGACTCCTTTGGGCAGTGAAGGGTGGGGTATAAATCCAATCTCTTCTTCCATCCTCTCCCTCAATCATAAGAGAGACATCGTTTCTTTATTGACAAAATAACTTAGAGAAATATTTTATAATTGTTGCGATGAGAGGAATGGAGGACACAGGAAATTAATCTCATGATGTTTACGAGCAAACTACATTTAATGTGGATAATCTGTGATTCGGTTCTTTTATGATTTTAAAAACTAATTATCCCTGCGCAGCTACTTTGAAGGTTGGGGAAGTGGCACTGAGACAGGAGGTTTGAAAATGGTTTATATATTTTTCCCCCTTCAGAGGTATTGGCAGCTTCAGGAAGAAGACTTTTCATCAGGGGAACAGCATGGTAACACTGAACCCCAACCCCTTTTACTAGCACCATTTCCCCAGTGCTCAAAGCTGCCACTAACAAACACAGAACATCCTAACCTTGGATCCTTCTGTGTATCATTTAGTTGAATCCTTAGTATGACCATGGCTGAAGCTATACTTGAAATAGGATGCCCACAGGCATATACAACAAACCATCTAATTCATTTCACTGGATCTGCATTGTAAATATAACTTTTGCAGCAATATATTCGTGCCTGTGCCTACCAATGCTCCCTTTAAGCTGTGAAGCCTTGTGAGCAAGAATTCTACTTTGTGAGCTACTGGCATTAAAGTTGTAAGCGAGCGATTTGGCTACTGCATGAATTAGTTTGCTCTGGAGCCATCCTTCCTGAGCTAAGACAAAAATGTGTGAGCCAGAGGCTAAAGAACTGTGAGCTAGCTGACACTAAGCTTAGAGGGAACATTGGTGCCTGGACAGATTTAGGGGTGCTAAAACCCCACTGGTATCAAGAACACCTTCCTCTGCACAAGAGCAGGCTGCTAGTGATATTTTTAAAAAACCTAACCAGTGTAAAATCCAGCGAAGAATGTCATTGGTAAAGCGATTGTGATGTCATAGTGAAAGCTTAAAGGAAAGGTGCAGCGTATGCACCTAAATCCATACACATAATTGATATCACAATGTTATGAATATTTGCTGCATAAATTGGGCAGATAAATGATTGAGGTGAAGCTTACAAAGCTACTTGTAAAAGGTAAAGGTTCCCTTGCTCGAAAGCCAGTCGAGTCCGACTCTAGGGTTGCGGTGCTCATCTCCGTTTCAAAGCCGAAGAGCCAGCGCTGTCCGAAGACGTTTCCGTGGTCATGTGGCCGGCATGACTAAACACCAAGGCGCACGGAACGCTGTTACCTTCCCACCGAAGTGGTACCTATTTATCTACTTGCAATTTCTTGCTTTTGAACTGCTAGGTTGGCAGGAGCTGGAACTAGAGACGGGAGCTCACTCCGTCATGCGGCACTCGGGTCTCGAACTGCTGAACTACTGACCTTTCACAGCCTGCAGTTCAGCATCTTAACCACTTGAGCCACCGCAGCTCCTTGTGGGATGCATATATCCAGTTCCTAAGAGCTTTGAAAATCTTGAACTAGCTGTATTTAATGCTGTTGGCAAGTTGTGTGTGCAAATAAGGCTGTAAACTACTTTCACCCTGTACAACTTTTTTTGTGGTTGCTTTTGCTGTAGACTTTCCAATGTGAAAAACAAAGTGTTAAAGGAATCAATCCAAAAAGACAAGCTGAAAAGCAAATGTACTGGTAAGTTTTAGGACGTTCTTAGCTTCATATGAGCTGTTTTTCTTTGTCACTGCATTGGGATGGATCAGGGTTGAGTCCAGCTGCCGTCCTCAGAAGCAGCAAGAACTTCTGTGGAGACTCTGTTCTGAGAAAACATAATTAGCACACCTTTGGCAATGTAGCTTTTGCAATGCAGCATGTTCCTAGATACCATCCTTTGCCTGGTTTAGTCCACAGGCACCTGCTTGCGGAAGGAACTTGTATGGTCTCTTCTGGCATATACTTTAATTTAATCCAGTCAGGGAGGTGAGCCGCCCCTGCTGTTTTCCTCCGTAATGTCCAAGTAAGATATCCCACCCAAAACCGTGGAGCCCAGTAGTGATGCATACAATAAAAACAGTACGAGTCTTTTAAGTGTAATTGGTTTTGCACTGCCATACTCTTCCTCCCCAGTTTCCTGCATTAATTGTTCATTATATTTGAATATTAGATAACTGGATCTGTTTGACAATGTTATGATACTGTTGCTTGAATAACAGTACGAGTCTTTTAAGTGTAATTGGTTTTGCACTGCCATACTCTTCCTCCCCAGTTTCCTGCATTAATTGTTCATTATATTTGAATATTAGATAACTGGATCTGTTTGACAATGTTATGATACTGTTGCTTGAATAATTTGTCTAACCTCTGGTTTTTGTTGTAGTTGCAATGCTTTGTTTTTAATATTTCTTACTTAAAGCAATTTTATCTTGCCCTTCTTCTGTGACACTCAGGGCAGGATACTGAGAGCCAACATGGTGTAGTGGTTAAAGTGTTGGGCGAAGATCTGGGAGACCCAGATTCGAATCCCCCCTCCACCATGGAAACTTGATGGGGTGACCTTGAACCAGTTGCACACAGTCTCAGCCTAACCTACCTCACAGGGTTGTTGTGAGGATAAAATGCAGGAAGGGAGACTATTGTAAGCCACTGGGCCCCCATTGAGGAGAAAAGTGGGGTGTAACTGAGGTAAATAAATACATTGTTAAGAATCATGTGAACATGAATCATGGGGAGGTATTTGTGAATTTCCTGCCTTGTGCAGGGGGTGGACTAGATGACCCTCAAGGTCCCTTCCAACTCTATGATTCTGTGATTTTATATGCGTGCCATGTGCCCTGAATTCTTGAGGTTTACCATGCAGAAAATTTAAAGTAGTGGTTTTTCAAATTTCTCTTACAGAAATTGAGAGCCATATTCGGAAACAGGAAGACATTCTAAACTCCAAAGACAATGAGATAAAGGAGCTGCAGCACTTTGTCACCAAACAGAAGCAAACCCTAAAGTAAGTGTTTCAAACAAAAGCTTTTTCTATCCACTTGACAGGTGTCATTGACATCTACGGGCATCGGGCATCTTCTTGTTTTTCCATACTTTTAGATGATTAATCGAAAACATGGGAATTGGAACCAAAAGGCCTTTTTCTTCAGCAGAAGACAGGATGTGATTTTAGCCAGGTCCCCGCTATCATTGCAGACTACCTGTTCATCCCTTGTTCTGTTCCAAAAATCCCCTCTCCCCACCAAGAGCAGGATTTTGGGGGATTTGGTGGGCGGCAGCAGGAAAATTCTGTTCTGCATGTGGAAGTGCCTTCTACCTGCAAATGACTAAGATTTATTCATTGCAATCTGAACATCGTGAGCATTAAATGGACTCCAGGCATTGGGAGGATCCAGGCTGCCATTTTTTGATATCGGTAGTGTGATGGTACTTTTTCCTTTAAATATTGCTGAATTTTCTTTCCTCCGAAATAAGTCATGTTCTCCATCATATCCCTCCTCAGATTTCATATGGTGTAAGGGAGTGTCAGGGTATACATGTGAAAACATCCTCTACGCGAGTAGGATTAAAAATGGATTGGGGGGGAGATCTTTTGTGTCTGTCACACACACAACTCTAGGTTCTGGTATAAATGAGTCTACAGGGGGAGGTGAGAGTGGAAGGAGGCAGGTGATCAGCCAGAAAATAGCTTCATTACACGGAATAGCAAAGATGAACAAAATGGTAGCAGATCGAAACAGTAAAACTTAACTTTTCTACTAGTAAATACAGTAGCAGTTTGCGCTTGGTAAGCCAATAAACCCTTCCGTTTACAAAACCTTGTGTACAGCTATAGTACTTTTAGCCCCCAAATTAGTGTGATGATCCTCCACATGGCCAGTCCAAAGGGAAAAAACCAGCCCAGGGATTGGAGATAAGCGTGTGATTGTTTGAAAAGGGACCAGAAAAAGGGATTACTTTGGTATCTGAAGGAAGGATTCCCCAGCCAGAAGGGAGTGCTATGAGCGGTGGCAGGCTGGTTGGAAATCATGGAGGATGAACCTGATGAGTGGGAGTGGGAAGAGGGATGTGGAAGTTGGTTTCGAGGGAGAAGGTATAATGGGAGAAATGAGCTCATACTCCGCCTTGAAGATGGAAATCCTGTTTTGTATCAGCAGTGAAAGAAAATTTGATGGTAGAACTGGCTACAAAACAGTGGGGCTTGAAAGACCCTTTTTCATACACCTCATTTTAGGCTGGGGTCCGTTGCATGGTTGCTGGGTTTAGTGCAGTACTAAAATCTGCATAGTTACAGGGCCAGATTCTAGGATATTATCTCTCATTGGGGAATTTGGGGTTGTACTGTGACTGGACCAATACTGAGATCTGTGCTCTCATTGGGGGAAAGTGTTGGGATCCAACCTGCTGTTGGAAGGTTTGGCATTTTCTTTGGGAGGAGATGCTTATGGGGAAGGTGTGTCTGTGTGATGCGCTGGGAGAGAGAGAGAGACGGGTCTGAGAGGGCTGAATGGCCTTGGCAACAGGTATAACTCATACTTGATAACAGGGGGCCTGGAGATGGGTGGATGGTCCTGACCAGGTACCTGATTAGGTTTCCAGTCTGCACTGTGAGGTCCAAAAGGGTAGGTTAGTATCCTGCAAGCGTGGTCTATTACTTATTGCCAGGGCATGGGCAGCCTTTTTTTTAAAAAATAATAATTATTAAACAGTTAAGAATACTGTTGTCGAAGGCTTTCACGGCCGGAGTTCATTAGTTGCTGTAGATTTTCCGGGTTGTGTGGCCGTGGTCTTGGCATTGTAGAACGTGACGTTTCGCCAGCAGCTGTGACTGGCATCCTCAGAGGAATAACACAGAAAGATGGAGTGCTCTCTGTGTCAAGGTGAATACTATTCCAAGAAGAATACTATTACAAGAATACATAACATTGAAAACAGTGCTGGAGTCAACTAATGTTGGAGTCAACAAGTCTATATGTAGCCAATACTTTAAAGTGCCCACAGTAAAGCTACGTCCATAACGAAGGATAAAAAGTATTTACAACTGTGGGTGTAATTTAACAGTACGAAACCACAGAGAAGGACAAGCCACATGAGTTGAGCCTATCTGTAGTAGAGGATCTACTAGCGAAGGTAGATATGAGGAAAGGTCGGTATGTGAAAAATAGGTGATTACCGGAAACCAGGTTCAGACAAAGGTGGTGATGTAAGAATCACAACCTCGCTTTGAATATTTCTCAGAAATTTTGTCTAGGGTACAATACTCTTTGACTTTTCCTAGCCATTCCGGAATAGTTGATGGCTTTGTGTTTTCCCATTTGCAGGCAATTACAGCTTTCGCTACTGCACAAAGCTTAGTTATTAACAGTTTGTGATGACTCAAGATTTTACAACCAATCCATGAGTCTAGTAATAGGAAATCAGCTCTGAAAGGGATGGTTTCCTTTGTTATCTTGCAACTATAGTTGCGGACTTGCCACCAGAACCCCCGTAAGAGGGGACAGTCCCACCAACAATGGCTGTAATTACTGACACCCCTACAGCTTTTCCAACATAATGCAGCGTTGTCAGGAGAGATCTTATTAACTTTTAAGGGAGAATAGCACCACCTTGCAATTATCTTTAATGACATAGCCTTAATGGACAAGTTTGCGAAGCAGAGGCTGGGAGAGTGCCATATGGATTCCCAGCTATGATGTTTTCTTTTTTCCTTTGGTAAACGTATTTAGGTGGCAAAGTTGACAGTGTGGATATTAGAACGATGTGAATTTTGGGTAGAATGCAACATGGGCAGCCTTTGAGGGCCACACAAAAATCCCTTGATTAATGCAGTTTGAATACTTCCTCTTCTCTAGTTAAATATCAAAAGCTGGATTCCCTCAAGACTCTGACTGCATTGGACCCGAAGATTTTTGGGAGTAGGTGGGGGGGGGGGGGGGGGGGGGACGACAAACAGAGCACTGGACAATCCTGTTTCTGTATGACTGTCTATAAAGTTGCTAAACCCAAAACTAAGGTTTTATGCCTCAGATGTATTCAGCTTTTCTCAACAGACTGAGCCCCCACTCCTTGCTAATTGGGAATGTTAGTTGGGAATGTCGTTCTAGTTAAGCTGTGGAGACTTAGGGTCAAATACCCACTTGCCATGCAACTAGCTTGCATCGGTGCCATCACTGGCTGCGATCACACACACTGCATAATCCCCTTTCAATGCACTTTCCAAGTGGATTTTACTGTGAACTGGCAAAATCCAGTTGGAAAGTGCAATGAAAGTGGATTATTTAGTGTGTGTGATCGCAGTGTGTGATCAACCTAGTCTACCTCACCAAACAGTTGTAAAGATAACATAGAGGAGGGCAGAAATATGAATGCCACCTTGGAAGAAGGGAGGAATAAAAATGCACTAAATAAATAGTTATTTCTTTTAAAAATTATTACTACATTTGGAGGGATTATTCTGCAGGTTCCACATATTCTGGGAGACTTCCATTTATCTTCTTGATGTCTGAAACCAGTTCCAGAGTTTAATAAGGACTACTTTATTTGGATGACTGATTTATCTTTATGAAGAAAATGACATAATATGTATTTTGCAATCTTCTGTCGCAACCTTTCTATTGCAATTTTTGTTTTGTTTTTGCAGAAAACAAGTGACTGACTTCAAAATACAGAAACAACAAGAATATTATATGGCAAAAGTCCTTGGGGGAAAAACCAAGAAGAGTGTTAAGTAACTATAGCAGCATTCCCTTTTCTCAATCTTCCCACGAAGAAATTCTGCTGCCCTTAGACGAAGAAACCATTTATAAATTCACCTCGAAATGATGACAGTATCCAGCATATTGCCTATGGGCAATGCTCGCTACAAGCATCTAGTCCATCCACACTTGTCTACCAGGTCCCAGTCTTAGATTGGGATGTCTATATATAAATTGAGGTGGACAACAGTTGCAGGATTGGGTCCCGAACATTTAGGCATTAGCCATTTCACCTTGTCCAGATGATCTTTAGACCATCTGTGTACCAAACTATATAGTCTAGTAATCCACGTTTTGGATCTTTCTGTGAATCATTTAAATCATTCCCGATACAGGTGTGTCTAAGGGATCATGATCGATAGCCGTGTTGTAATCCGTCAGGTGCCAGTTTGGTGTGCCTCTTAGGTTCCATTGATCCTTCTCTAGAAAATGAAAGAGATGGCCTGAAAGACACGTAGCAACTCTTTTAACTGTTGTTAACCTCAAATGGAATCTATACACTAAAATGTACAAATAAATGGTTTTAAGTGAATTACCTGTGAATCCACTCACTTCCATCTTGGGGTGGTGTTTGCAGTAGCTAAGGATGCTTGACTCAAAATGGGAGCGCCCACTGAGTTTAAAAACTACTGAAATATTTTCTGCGCAGCAGAGCAAAACCAGTGGAATTTCGTATTCTCTCTTTCTGTGGTTACGACACTCCGTTTCCAGTTTTTAATTTCTAGAAGAAAATATCCCAGGGCTCAAGTCTATGATGAACTTCTGATCTGAAAACTCATCCTCCAAATCCTTGATGTTTGAAGATTCTTTGTACTTGTTCAGTGAAATGCACTTTGCATAAGCCCAGGAGCCCTTACATCCATTCTTGCTATATATTTTCCTTTTTTTTTAAAGTACCCATAGGTACACTTTTATTATTTTTCATATTATACACATACATACATACAACATATAAACAAACAACCACTTACACACATAAGACATACAAAGAGATCAGTATATTTTCTTATTACTCTATTACCATATTTAAAAATTTTCTTAAATATTTCCAGCAAAAATAGTATTTTAGATCTCAATATCTCTTGCATTATCTCATGGATCCATCTCCAGTATCTCTTTGTTACATCGCAAAGCCACCTGATGTTGAAAATGGACACTGGGTCTGAGTCCTGGCCATATCTGACACCCAGTGATTGTGCCCTGTTGTTTCTGCATCAGTAGGCAATTAGATACTGAAACTTATATCAGGGTCTGCAACTTCCGGTTTCTCTGAACTCTTTAAAAAATGTGGAATCTCAGGCTACTGTATTAACATGATATGTTTGCAAAAGTAGAAGGGAATTAAATATGATGTGTGTAGCTTACCTCCAGCGGCTCTGTAATCCATAATGCAAGTGGGAAGAAATTTGAAGCAGATCTCAGGTTGCTAAGGCAAGAGGTGATTATTTCCCACCCCCTCTCCTATTGACCTATCATTTCTTGTAGGCAAATTCTTACTTGTACCCAGCCACAAATGATTCTTTGGTAATGTAGGTTTTTAGTCCTATTGGATTGTTCATCACAGTATTTCATGCTCTTACCAGGATTTTCAGCCTTTAAAAGGTAATAAGGTTTTCAGTCTCCTACTAACCTTGACAAACATACAAAGGTCCTAACTTTTTCTCACTAAATTGGCTTCATTCTCCATGTTTACCGTACCACTGATGGTGTTATCTTTGTGGTGCACTGACTTAATGCCATCGACTCCTCCCTTGCCACTACATCCCCATCTCCCGGCTGTTGCCATTCCTTACCTTCCTTCCCAATCTATTTTACTGTCGAATTGATTCGGAATCCCTGTGCTCCCATCATCTCTCTTTTAAAAATATATTATTAGCTCTTCAGGTTCTTATACTTTCTGTGCTTCTGGACTGGTCCCTGGCGTTCTTGGTATAAGGCTCTGGGATGCAGAGGCTAAATCCATCGATATAGTGCAAATCTCTGTGGTTTAAACCTTCATCAGAGGAATTTTGGGTAGAACAGAGTTTATAACAGGGAGACAACAAATGCCTTAGGGCAGACTGCAAGCAGACATCGGCGACAGCATTCCCTGTGCTCGTCCCCATCTGGTATACAGAGGTTTACAGACTCTCAACATAAATATTCCATTTAGCTATCATGTCTCAGATGTGGGACTTCAACGCGTAGAATTTGAGTCGAGCAGGCAGGATGAGCTTCAAGGGGATATGGCGCCTGAGGGGGGCCCGTGGGCTGGGAACAGCTTGGCAGAGAGGTGGCCCCCCACACACACACTTGCACTTCATTCTAGAGCACTTCTCCTTTCTAGACAGAGGTCCAGGCCCGTAGCTACAGTGGGGCCTCTCGGGGCCTGTCCCCCCCCCCCGACTTACCGCCAAGGGCCCCCTGACTTCCCATCCATCCCCGAGGCCCCCCAATACAGACTTATGAGTGAGGCCTGGTCTGCACAAGCAGCAAAACGAGGTAGTTGTTTGAGATGACAGATTGCCAAACTGTGCCACATCGGACCCGCAGGCAGTGTTCCCTCTAAGTTGAGTTAGTGTGAGCTAGCTCACAGTTTTTTAGCCTCCGGCTCACACATTTTTGTCTTAGGAAGGATGGCTCCAGAGCAAACTAATTTATGCCGTAGCCAGATCGCTCGCTCACAACTTTAATGCCAGTCGCTCACCAAGTAGAATTTTTGCTCGCAAGACTCCACAGCTTAGAGGGAACATTGCCCGCAGGTGCATTTATTTTTAATGTTCCCCTATGTAAAAGTCCCCGATGGTGAGATAAGTTAGCACACGAACAAAAAAGGGATACTGAAAATGTGTCCCCCTAGCGTGCTCATTTACTGTATGTCTGGCTTTTTTTTACAGAGAGGGGACTATTCAGAAATTTGATCCAGTCCCTGCCCTCTAAAGAGCCACTTGAGCTTCAGAGCTCCGTCGCCTCATTCTGCCACACGTGTAGACCGAGTCTTAGTAGGCAAGGGAGAAAGCAGAGGTCCCCTGTGGCTTTGTCTACCTTGAGCTCAGAAGCAGAGGCTTCAAGTGTGCGGTTGAAACTCAGAATTTGCCCTTAAACGTTTTGTTGTTGCTGCTTTGAGTTCCGTGGGTGAAGAAGAAGAAGAAGAAGAAGAGATTGGATTTATACCCCGCCCTTCACTACCCAAAGGAGTCTCAGAGCGGCTTACAAACTCCTTTCCCTTCCTCTCCCCACCCTGTGGTGGCAGGTGGGATTGAGAGAGCTCTCTTGAGAACTGCCCTTGAGAGAACAGCTCTGAAAGGACTTGTAACTGACCCAAGGTCACACCAGCAGTTGCATGTGGAGGAGTGGGGGAATCAAACCCGGTTCTCTCAAGATTAGAGTTTGCGCTCCTAACCACGACACCAAACTGGCTCTCTTACATAGTTCTGTCAACACCTGATCTACTGGTAGTGAAGGGTGGGGTATGAATCCAATCTCTTCTTCTAATGTATAGTGATTGGCATATGTTTTGTCAGATCATACCGGGGGGGGGGGGCAAAGCCCCCTTGGACGGAGTGTGAAAGCATGGACAGCTCACCAGACACACAGTCCAGAAATGCGAATAATTTACTTCTGAGGATGTAGTTTTTCCAGCTGTGGACTGTGAATCCTTCAGTAGTCTGGAAGACTGGGCAAAGCCAGCTATAACTTTTAGAGTACCCCTGCTAGGAGGCAATACCAGGGGCAGCTCTTGGCCACTGTGCCTTATTTGTTGGCCCTCTGAGGAAACTGCATGGCCTCTGTGTTAATTTTCTATATCCAGTCAAAGCGAATCTTAGGGGTCGTTCCTTACCGTGACTACAGCCCTTGAGGATCTGTCCTGCATCTGGGAACCTGTACAAGAGAAATAGGCTCCCCCTTTTTTATTGTCCAGTCACTGCTTAATCCAGCCTGCGCAGTAGTTATGGGTGTGTCCTGGTGGGCCATGAGAGGTTCTTCAGAACATTTGAAGATTCCAGACAGGCGTGAGCAGTGCCCTCCCAGGCTCAGCGCCTCTGGCTGTTCTCCCAGCATATTTATTTATTTATTGGGTCCAATTTTATCCTGCCCTCCTTCCAGGAGGCCTGGGGTGGCGTGCATCATTTCCCCCTTTATTCCATTTTATCCTCAGATCAACCTCGTGAGGCACGTCAGGCAGAGAGAAAGAGAAATTGAGTGAGTGGCTGGTCCAAGATCACCCAGGGGAGCTTCCACGGCAGAGTGGGGATTTGAATCCGTGTCTCCCAGATTCCAGTCTGGCGCACTCTAAACATTGCACAATGCCTGGCATCTGTGGCATCTCCACCTAGGATCCTCATAATAAAGGTAAACTGGCCCTCCAAATCATTCGGGCTTTATTTACCACTACCACTTTGGTCTGGATCCAAGGACTAGATACCTTGGGGGGCGGGGTTGGAACATTTTCCTTTTTTTTTTTTGCTCTCTCTCTCTTTTTTTTAAAACTCAGCTGTCAGCTCTATACTTAAAACAGTACAGGCAAAAAAAAAAGCCCCCGATAAACATTTTATTGTTACTTTAAAAGGGTTAATTGTCATCCAATTTATTACTGGTATTTTTTTAATTCCCAAGACTTTAAAATTAGCTCCATTGGTGAACCCATCTGACCCAGGGTATCCAGTAACGTATGGTCCTGGCATGCCTCCAGTGGATTAGCACCTGCTGCTGTTACTTTACTGGACTTTTTTTTAAAAAAAAGATCTTTTACTATAGTTTCCAATAAGTCCACTACAACTCGTTTTCTGCTATAAATGGTGATACTTCTGCAGTATTTTTGTTTGCATGCCATGTTTGCATAGTTTGCTCTGAAAAGAAGAAAGCTATACTAAACCTTTTTTCCATTTCAGAAATGTAGGATTAGAAAGGTTATTTTGGCCCAAGCTCTGAACACAGCTCATGGTTAGGACTGAAATGGTTTTGGCACCCTCTTTGGGAATAGACAGATTGGATCCCTCCACTGTGTGAATCAGCGAGCTAAGCTGGTGTTAGAGGTGCTTCAGCTACCTTGGCTTTGCATCAGTACTGAGATGATGTTTGGGGAGTTGGATCGATTGAAACCTCCTGACCTTTAGTCATTGCAATATTCACGAGACCTCTCGAGTACTTCCAAAGGTAATTCTATCCTCCCTAATTTAGCAGCTGTATGTCAATAGGGGTTTTGTTGTCAGTGTTGTCTGGCACAAGCTTGAACATCAAAAAAGAAATCCAGTTCACTCTGAAGTGCATAGCTGCCCTCTACATATATTTACTTACTTACTTTAAGTAAAAGTAAATATATTTCCTTCCTAATGGGGACCCAAAGATAAAGCAGAAGAGTTGTTTTTTATACCCCGCTTTTTACTACACGAAGGAGTCCCAGAGTGGCTTAGAATCACCTTCCATTCCTCTCCCCACAAGAGGCACCCTGTGAGGTAGGCAGAGCTAA